CCTGAGACACCAAAGCACTGTCCTCCCCAAAGAGCCAGCCCAGCACTGAGAATACCATACAAGCCAGAGGAGGCTTGCCAAATAGATGAATGAGTGAATGAATGATTCCTTTGATGAAATTGTCCCAGGGAGAGTTTGTGGGAAGACTGAAAAGGAAGGTGGTTCCCACACTGGTACCCCATTCCTTGATACTCTGATGTGGTTCTTCAATTTCTCTATCTTCCTTTTATCTTGATTTATTTATTATATCAATCTATTTATTTTAGGAATCAAGCCAGACACCTTGTTGGAGCAACAAGAGCTAGAGACATTTGTTCCTCTTAGACAAAGCAAAATTTTCCAGTGCCAATTGACAGAGAAGAAGATGAATAATCATACTATGTGCTGGTAAAGAGGACCCGAGATGGCTTCCTGATTCTTGTACATCAGCAAGGAGACTTCTACGGTCCTGGTCTCCAGCACACCTTTCCTGGTAGAGCTGAGAATTCAACCAGCGAATTCTTCCTGAAGATTCTCAGAGCCACACTGGGAAAGCAGGGGACTCATAAGTGCTGCCCTATCCAACATGACTCTCTCGGGCCTCTAGGTAAGTCACACACTGAAGCCCACCCCTCCCACCTTCCACCCTCGTCAGCTAATCTAGGTTAGTGCAGGCCTAACTTAGACTATAAGGTGTGCTCTTGTGCATAATTTCATGACCACCACCAACCACATGGAACAATGTTATCCCCATTTATTGTCCAGGAAACTGAGGCCTGGTGTGGTAAGTGACTTGCAAGTAAGAGGAGGAGTCAGGTGTAAACTCAGATTCCTGAATCTAAATTCAGTGGTCTCACTGCAGCATAGCTGCCTCTTGAAATCCAGAGTGGGCAGAGAGGAAAGGGGATCCCCAAGTTCCCAGGCCTCTTCCAGCCCAGTATTCTATGTAAAATTTTTCTCTTCCAGGTTTGTCTGATAAGAGGTAGGGTGACCCCACCTCCTGTTCCTCAACAGTCTGTGCGAATTCAAAGAAATAGAGTGTGAATTCAAGGAACTCATTTGAAGAACAGGAAAAGCAACTCTCTGCTTGAGGTTATGGGGAAATGCAGGTTGAAACATGGATCTGAAGATTTGCTAAGGTCCCTTCCACCCTCAGCTCTTCCATTCTGTTCCCAATGAGGCCCAAAACACAGCTTTCTCCATCACTCTTCAATGCCTTTGTTGGTTGATTCGTCTGGTGCTCCCAGCCAGCACTGTGGCCCTGAAAATGAAATATAAATTACATCAACTTTACAGCCATTCATCGCTAGCCATCTGATGCAGATAGAAAGGCAGGAAGCACCTGTGGCAGTTTGCACATCAGGGTCAGCAGTTCCTTTCTTAACTCCTCTCTGTCTGGCAAGGCTAAGGAATCAGACATTCCTATAATGACCTGGCCTGCCTTTAGAGCTGCAGCCCTAAGAGCTAGTGTCCTTCCTGTGGCTATGATCTTAGCACTGAGATCCTTCCTGCTCTTCTTTTGCTCTTGTGTGTAGTGGACCACAATATGCCTTCAGATCAGGCATCCTGTGGACAGAAGAAACTATTTCACTTCGATAAGAATTTTTGAAGACCAGTATAGGTTCAGTTAGTGCTTTGGGGGGATTATACCAGAGATAAGAACAGACTAAATAACAAACGTGAGGCAACATTTACAAATCATACAACACAATATGCAATAGCAGCTTCTGAGTTTCTGCAGAGGAGGGGCTGAAGATAGCAACCTGGTTGGAAGATGCCTCAGGAACTTGCCTTAAGGCTGTATTTTCATAGCACATAAGATTGGGAAAGACATCAAAGAATGGGAAACCTTCCATTCTGGAGAGATGGAGATTATGGGGGAGAATTGATAAAGCCCCCAAAACCACTCTTGCCTCTCCTACTAACTGTTCAAGTCTCAGGTATCACTATTTGCATGACAAGGAGAAAATTAACATCATTAAGCAATGAGCCAAGTGTTTACAAGTATAATTTCATTTATTTCTCACAGAAATCCTGAGTTATCTTCTCCCATTTTACAGAGTATAAAAAAATTAGTTTTTCCTAGAAATCACATGAAGGGACAGATATCCCCTTGACAGGGCCAAGGAGGCTGTGGCATATTTGCTGGCCTTGACATGAAGGAATGACTGAGCACAAAGAACACAGCCTGCACAGGGCCAGAGGACGGTTGGGTCCTAGGGCAGAGCCCTGGCGGATGTTTCTACCTTCCACCTGGGCACCCCGAGGCAGGCTGTGTTTTTGTTTAAATTCCATCTTATCCTGCCACAGGCTCAGGCCAAGCTGACTGTTCCTGACCCGGTGAAGCACCAGTCGCACTCTGGCCCAGCTCCCACCACATCATCACCTGCCCACTCCTGTACTGTCTCCTCCCTCTGGCTTTGATTTATTGTTCACACCAGCTCTCCCTCTTAGGCCTAGAGGAAGGTTGTTTTTTGCCATTAACAATAAATTCTTAAAATTACCTCTAACCAGTGAAAGATATAAATCGTAGTCATAAACATAATACACATTCTTGGGCCTTTTCAAAATGACTTCCTAAGTAATTCGAGGTAATTCAACAATAATTATCTAGAAAGACAGACTTATTTGAGCCCTGCTAACTGCTCTTTTGATATTAATATAGCTTTAAGCCCTCTGTACTTCTTTCTGCCTCAAGGCTTTTTTTATACATGTCCTCATTTGTTACACAGAATGTTATTTCCCTACCCATGCCCCATACCTGTTTCAGGCAGGGTCTCAGCAGGAGACAGGCACTCTAGGGGGTGATTAGAGCGAGTTTAATGAAAGAGAGTTTTACAAAGGTGTGAACAGGTGTTGCGGATTGAACTGTGTCTCCCAAGGAAAGACACGCTGAAGCCTTAACTCCCAGTACCTTAGAATGTGACCTTATTTGGAAATAGGGTCACTGCAGATGTAATTAGTTTAAATGAGTTCATATTGGAGTATGGTGAGCCCCTAATGTAATATGACTGGTATTCTGTAAGACAGCCAAGTGAAGACAAAGACACACAGGGAGAGAAAACCACAGTGCAGATGGAGACGGGAGTGAAGCAGCTGCGCACCCAGCCAAAGACCATCAGAGTTTCCGGCAAACCACCAAAATCAGGAACAGGCGAGGAAGGCTTCCCCTACGGGTTTCAGAGGGTGCATGGCCCAGCAGACACCTTGATTTCAGACTTCCAGCTTCCAGAACTGTGAGACAATTTTTTTATGTTGTTTTAAACTACCCAGTTTGTGATATTTGTTAAGGCTGCTATAGGAAATTAATACAGAAGGGTTATGGGAGACCAGAAATAAGGTGGTGAAACACCAAGGCTGGCAACAAAGAGCCGCTGCCACGCCAGACCTGAAGCGTGAAGGGGAGGAGCCTTTACGGAAACCTGCAGCTGTGGAAGAGGAACTGTAGCTTCCAGTGGAGGAAGGTGAGTGAATTCATTCCTCTCCTGAAGGTGTCTCCATTGGCCAAACCAAATGGGATGGAGAAGCAGGTGGATGCTGCCAGTTAAGGTCAGGCCTCTAGAGCAGGAAGTAGAGTGGATGTGCAGGGGCAAACAGACTCAGTGTCAACTGCAACGCCACTTTCTCTTCAGGGAAGCCTTCCCTGACCTCCTAACCAAACCCGGCCTCTGAAACATGCTCTTATAATCCTTCTGCTTCTGCAGAATACTTACAGCTGCAATGGAGGAACTAATTATGCAAATCATTAAGTGATGACTGAGTCTCGTGCTGGAACACAAGCTCCATGAGAGAAAAGACCGTGTCTGCCATTCATCAGTGAATCCTCAGGGTCTGGCATATAGTAAGAATGACTAGGTTTATAGGATGTGCCAAGAACTAGGCAGCCCGATGGAAAAAGGTCAAGTATTTCAGCCCAAACAGATTGACCTTAGCAACTTTCAAAGAGCTATAGACAGCAGACACCATTATGTTCTGCCAGGGAAGGGGGGTGCTGAGGATACAATTTATAACATGGAGGAATGTGACCACCTTGGGTACTTGCTAACAGTCCTCCAAGAGCAGCAGGTGGATGGGCAGTTATGCAAAGTGAGGTGAGGCAAGGGTGGGTGGGAGAGCAACTACCATAGGGTCAAGAAACCTGAGCTGCTCCCATCTAGATTTTTTTCAGGGCAGTCTGTTCCTAGTCACACTGGGGAACTTAAGAAAGCTTAGGTGGGTCTTTCTTCAACTAACCTGGGAATGTAATGGTTATGTAAGTCCTGCACCCACCCTCCAATATGGAATGGCACCTTTGCTCCTGCCTTTTTGCTTACCAGTGACCCTCTTCCCAGCTTCTGCTGCACTCTCTCATTCCCATTACTAATTTACCTGTTCGATTTCAAAATTTCAAAGATTGACCTTTAAACTCAAAGGTGTAGGTCCCAAAAATCCAACTACTTCCCTCTTTTGAAGTCCATGTAAATTTAGCCTATCATAAGTTGGGATGTAGTGGTGGTTTCTAATTTTTTTGTACAATATTTTCCTTTGTGTAATTTAATACAGGTAACCTAAGAACCCTTCAGAAAAGAAGGTAGATGAGCTCAATAAAGATCAGGAATCTCTGGTTCACATTTGGAAGACAGTGTTTCATTGGATTGCTCTTTAACACATGGGTAAATCACCCTGATCCAACTTTGCCCAGAGGGAGTTTGCAGTGAACACAACAATCATTACATCTTCAGAGTCTTTGTGCACATACTATCGATCTCCTCATTTGATGGTTCTTTTGATTACAACTGTAAATGTCAATAATTCTTCTTGGTATTGACTGTTAGCATCACCACAAAGTGTCTAACATGAACATCTCATTTGAAACTGGAAACAGCAATATCAAATTTAACGTCTAGGACAGGAAGCAGAAACCTTGTTGTTAATTAAATAAGCTGCCTTAACCTCCTCTGCATTGGCCTAACTTACCTGAACCACACTATCGGTCTTGAAGGTGTTACTGTCATCCCATTAACAGGCAGCAGGCCCTGCGAGCCTCCTGTGATCAGTTAGACTTCTCTGGGGAATGAAACAGCTGCTGATTAGGGACTGACTTCCTCAGTCACAAGTGTGTCAGCTCAGAGGAGGGGCCAGCCAGAAGGTGGTTTGGAGGCAGAGCTGCCCCTGAATGAGCCATGGAGATGATCTGCTCCCTCATCCATCTCTCCCTCTTCTGGGCAGGTAAGGCAGACCCCAGAACTTCAGCCAGGCAAGACTCAGCAGCAAAGAAGCATCAAGGCTCCCAGGACCTGGTATTCAGGGACTGCGCCCCTTACTCAGTGACCTCGGCCCCCAGCCCTCACTGAGCTCTCCTCTTGTGTCTTTTCTTTCAGGAGTCATGTCAGCCACTGAGTTGGTGCCTGAACACCAAACAGTGACTGTGTCATTGGGGGACCCTGCTACCCTCAGGTGCTCCATGAAAGGAGAAGCGATCACTAACTATTACATCAACTGGTATAGGAAGACCCAAGGTAACACGATGACTTTCATATACCGAGAAAAGGACATCTATGGCCCTGGTTTCAAGGACGGTTTCCAAGGTGAAATTGATACTGAAAAGGACCAGGCTGTACTTAAGATTCTTGCAGCATCAGAGACAGATGAAGGGTCTTACTACTGTGCCAGTGACTACCACCCTGCTGCAGCTCTACTTCTGAGCAGCTCAAAAACCATTGCCATCCATGTAGAGTAGCAGTTCCAACAAGATCATGATTTTCTCTTGAATAAATAATTTAGGAAATGGGGACCAGAGAAAGCTAGTATTCCTACCTTTCTTTCAGGCTCAGTCGCTCAGCTTGCCCATGCTCTCCCCTGGTGCTCAGATAGGCAACCACCAGTGGAACAGAAGAGAGGAGAGGTGGAGCCAAAAAAATGAATTGTAGCATCTATGGTAAGAATTTTCTTGGAGCCTCATAAAAGGCTTGCCCACAGAGCCACAGTGCTTTAAGTATAGCATAGATTAAGGAGGCACCTTATAATGTACAACTATGGGTGACATCCAGTTTTTCCCCAGCCACATGCCTCTGAATCTACGCATTCTAGAGGAAAAGGACTGGCAAGGCAGGGAGGCTTGTCTCCCTCCTTCAGATCAAATATGTACACTATCTGTCATCTTACCCAATGTGGAAGGAAAGGCTTCATATCTAGCATGCTGTATTGTTCTGATGATTACTGACTGGGTATTTTGTTTGGTTTTGTTTTGTCTTGTTTGTGAGACAGAGTTCTTGTTCGGTCACCCAGGTTAGAGTGCAGTGGCATGATCATAGCTCACTGAAGCCTCGCACTCCTGGGCCCATGCTGGATACGGTATTTTGCCCTCCCTTTCTTCTCTGTCTGTTTACATCCACATGTGCTAGAAACAAAACATTGAAAAATTGCTTCGACTTGCACTTCCTTATCCTTCTATGGGCAGCTCAATTTAATACTGCACTTTTATCTTGAACAACGTGATTTTCCAGATTTAGATGATTGACAGGGCTCTCTACGCCAAGGCTGAACCTGTGGGAGAAATCAGCTTTCCTTCTGTCCTCATCTAGAAAATCTACCACTCGCCTTATTAAACAGCCTTATAAGAACTTGTAGTGATAGATATTTTCGGTGGCTTGATTATGGCGATGGTTTCACAGATATACAGGCATATCAAATTCATCAGATTAGGCACTCTAAACATCTACAATTTATTTCACATCAAGTATAACTGAATACAGTTTTAAAAATATTTTTAAATGCAAATTTGATTTTTTAGGCTTCATTGGACTACTTCAGGCAATATCTAAAGAAAATGTTCTTCAACGAACCCCTCTAGTCAAATGTTCTGTCTTCCACAGAAGTACAAAGGGGCTCACAGGGCTTGCCACACCTTACTTGGTTTCAGTCAGGGCTTTTCATTGTTTTACCAAGGGTCTTCCCAATCCTCTCTCCTCTCATGATTCTGCCTGACCTTTCACATATATATAATACACATTTTATACATATGTTATAAGGTATCATTGTTCCGTGCATTTTAGTTATGACTGCCCCCATGAGCTCTTATCATTTATCTCCCCAAACAGCTATACTCTAAACCCTCAGGAAAATCTTTCTTCTCCACTCTTTATCCCAGACCTCCCCACCCTGACCTGATGCCTGATTCCAACATAGGGCTGGAACCTGCCTTCTGCCTCTCTGCCACACCCCATTGGGCAGCTTCTTTGCTTGAATGATCCATGAGGCCCTGGATGTTGACTCTGCCCTTGGTCAAAGTCAGGTTCCCAAATTCCCATCCAGATACAGCACTCTGAGCCCCATGAACTAGGAAAGGGTTTGGACCCAGCCTTCCCAGGATATATTTAAACAGAGGGTCTATCATGACTCATCAAGCCCATTGCCTGCCACTCAGATTTAATTCTCCTTCTTTGAACAAATAATAAGCAGGAAGGTGGAGTTTATCTCCAACATGAAGAGGATACAATTCTTCTCCCAGTCTGAAATCATGATTTTGGAAAAAGAATGACATCTGGAAAGCTGTTTATGCAGATGTCAAAGTTGTGGAGCCATGGTTTATAAGGTGTGCAATATGGATTCCTAGCAAGACCCCCAGTGACTTCCTCTAACAGAGACTGGGAAGAATGTCTCTAGGAGAAGGAGGGGAAAAAATATCTGGACAAATCCATAAAACTGTATGTCTGCCGTAATAATAACTAATATCTGTTGAGTGTTTACTATATGCCAGGCAGCATTCTAAGCACTCAACATGTGTTATATGATTGATCTTCACAACAACCCTAGTATTCATTTTCTATTCTTGTCCTCATTTTACAAAATAGAACCCCAAGGCACAGAAAATCTAAAATATTTACCCAAAGTAGCACAGTTAGTAAGGGAGGGTGACAGATTTGAGACTCTGGATGCTACACCAGAGGACATAGCATGTAATTTAGGGAAATGGGAGAACCATAGAGAAGACTACCTCCAGGATGTGTCAGAAGCAGACAACAGGCTGTGCCTTCACCACCAAACCTGTTCAAACTGACACTCCATGACCATCTGTCAAAAAACTGGGACAACAGAGCAGTGGTCCCAAATGACCTCTCAAATGTTTTCTGAGATTTGTGATCCTGCCATAAGCTTCATACTGTCTTCTAAAATCATCTGCATCTCTTCATCTGTGAAATTAGGATAATAAGAGTTCTATCTTCACTGTGTTATAAAATATATAATTATAGAAACTAAATAAATTGCATTGCATATAGTAGCTATTTAATAAATGTTACCTATTATAAGAAAAAGCAAAGTGCAAGGAAGAATAATTGAGAAGAAAGTGAACTAAATTACTGAGCAACAACAAAATGCAGCCTCTTTATAAGTATGGACTCATTTATCCTACGACAACTCAGTGAGGTCATTATTACCCTTTCTGTTGTACAAGTGAGGATACTGAGCCTCAGAGAGGCTAGACAGCTTGCTTACAGAAGCAAAGCCAGGATCTGGGTCTGACTGGAAGTCTAATTGTCCTGGCTGGGGTACTGGGCTGGGAACTGTAGAATGTACTAAAGAAATATCTTACCTGTAGCAACATCTCAAGTAAAGGATAGCTGGGAACAGGTATGGGAAGTCCAATCATCTTTGCTCATGCAAAAGTTGCTTTTGACTCCTTGGCCAGTTTCCAAAAGAAAGGATAAGAGGTGAGGTCTTCAACTCCTCCCCCTGCCTCCTCTCCCCTGCTTTAAAACACCAATTGCAGTTTCAGCTTCCAGGCTGTTCTCCAAAGACGGCTCGCTCCCCTGACTGAAGAAAGGCAGCTGCTCCCCAGCCCACTGCCACTCACACTCCTCACCACCACCCCTACTAGGTCGGCAGGTTTTCTCACAGGCTACACCATGAGAAACATGAGAGACTGACCTGCATATGCCCTCCTTCTGATGCTTGTCAAAGGTAGTCTCTTGTTGGACTCCCTTAGATTCTCTGTGGGTGCTCATGGATTCACTACCTTTTCCTCTCCTTCTCAGGGGCCTGACTGGAGTCACAACTACAGGGGTCCAGGACTGGCATGATGAGAGCTAGAAAAATTCCCTGGGTTTCTGTCGGGTCCATAGAGTTGGTGACTTTACCACCCATATATATCTTTACTGTCAGGCAAAGTGTGCAAGTTTGTCTCTTCCATTGTCACTGACTTGTCACTTATATGGAGGCAGCAATGGGGCTCGAGATCTGATAGCCACAAGTCTCTGCATTCAAAAGTGAACACGCAGGTACCAGAAAACACTGCAGTGGATTAAGGTGCAGGAGCCGCTGTGTAAAGATTAGAAATTAATTTCTAACCAAATTTCCCTGCTTTAGTTAGGGTCTTAGTCCACTGCAGTATCTGAGATAATACATGCTCGATAATAAATTTTCCGTACTGACAAGGGGAACAAACTCAGAATCAAGGCTCCTTTCCCACCCTTCAATTCCACACATTACCCTAAAATGTTCATTGAAATGATATGATTTACAGCTTCTTTTGTCAGAGCACTTTATTTTTCCAGCAAGTACCTCTCTCATATCTGCTTCGTTTTTCTCCAGAGAATTTATCACTATTTGGCATGCTACATATTTTACTTGTTTATTTTTTTATGTCTGGCTCTCACTGGAATACAAGGTCCTTGGTGGCAGGGATGAGTTTTTGTCTGTTTTGTTCATTGCTTTCACTCCAGCACTTAGAATAACTTTGGCCCATACCAGACACTCAATAAATGTATTAAATGAATGAATGAATGAAGTAAGTATGAGTGAGTGCTATGTACCCTGCGTTGAGCTGGATGCCAGGGATACGATGGTGCACAAGGCTGGAGTGGACTCAGCCCTCTGAGAGGCTTTCCCCAAGCCTCGTCTGCCCACTAAAAAAAATGCTATTGACCGTAACAAGATTTTCTGAAGAGTTGATTACAGAGTACTCTGTATTTGGAACACCAAATAACTTACTCTGGGAGAGCAGACATTGAGGCTCCTAAGTACATTGGATGTTAGTAGGGGCAAAATGAAGAGAATAGAAGATTTTCTCCTTTCTCCACCTTTTCTCTTTTGAGTCCCAAGGCCCCAGGCCCTGAGTCTGAGGCTGTCGAAGAAAAAGCCAAACATTTCTATTTTATTTCACAAAGGAATTTTGCAAAGCTTCTCTCCAAACAGACTTGCTGGGGCATGCTATTTCACCATGAAAAGCCACAATAACACATTTTCCTAAACAAGGGAGCAATTTCTAACTCCCTCTCACTTTATCACTACCACCACCAAATGATTTTGGTATTCTTCAAGAATGCAGAATCCACAGGGTCTTTTTGGGCATTTTAGCAATTTACACATACACAAACACGTATGTTTATGAGTGGTAACAGTGTATAGTCAAGTGCATGAAACACTGCAGGGGTTCTCTGAAGGCATGTCCTGGATGCTCCCAGGCTCCAAGGCAGCAGCCAGCCAGTGGAACAGTGTGCCACCCAGCGTGCTTGACTTCATAGGAAAAAGCCCCAGTGACAGGGCAAAGGAAGTCAAGCCAACGTGCAGTTGCTTGTATTCATTTAAATAAAGCAGGTTCTCAAACTCTATGTTTAAATTAGAAATCTAACAGTCATCAGTTTTCCTTTTACCTGCATGCATATGGGAGAATAGGGAAAGTTTAAATTATCCTTCTGGCTTAAGGACAAAATTGCATACGTATTTATAACTTTCAGAAAAAGAAATGTCAGTCTAAATGTATTACTAGGGCAACAAATTATTAAGAAAAAAAAATCCAAAGTACAGACTTTCAGAAATTAAAGTGCTTTCATAGAATATAGCAGCATTCATTCAGTAACAATTTATTAAGTGCCTCGTATGCGCCAGACACTTTTCTAGACACAATGGAAGCACAGCTCTCAGAATCTCAGGAGCTTATATTTTAGTGGAAATAAACATAAAATAAAATAAGTAAAATATATGTCAGATGGAGATAATTGCCATGGAGAGGAGTAAAACAGGCGAGGAGAGAGAGAGGGTTGTCGGCAGGCTTGGAGAAATTACAATTTTAAATCAGGTTGTCAAGAAAGGATACAATGAGAAGGTGACATTTCAGCAAAGACCTGCGAGCAGGCAGGGAGCCCAATATTTGGAGTGTGGATGCTTGCTGGACTCTCCCTGTTAGAAATAACATTTTCATGCATATTCTTAAGACACATATTATACTAGCTTTTCTATAGGTTGGGAGGATAAGGAATCATTTTTTCCTTTCTTATCTTGCTAAGAGCTCTTTCACAAGAAGCTCACACTTTCATTTTTCAAAACCAAGTGATGAAATGCCATTAATTAGCACAAAGTGTGTTGGGGAGTGGATGGGAGGGTTTGGCAAGGAAGCAGTCCTGAAAAGACCAAACCTTACACCATGAACAGGAAGATGACAGCACCAATTTCTGACATATGGAAAATGAAATGAGGCATGGCATTTTGAGCCCTTTGCCTTGATTCTCTCCCTCCTCACGTGACCACATCCTGTGGATTGATGAGTGTTTCTTCCCCAACCATCAAGGTAAAAATACACAATGGGTAATGCATTTCTTTCACTGGTCCCCAGATGACTCTACTCTAGCAGCCCCGGAAAAGAATCTGAAGCCTCATCTATACCTGCAGGTTGATGTGCCTCCCAAAAACTGTCTCACTCCATTGTGAAGCTGAAATAAAGCGTGTGTTCACCTCAGTGAGGTTCTTGGTTTTCCTTTTCTGGCTTCTCCAAAAAGTCAGTCATAGAGAAACCTGAGGGCTACAGAGCCACCGTGGAGAAGGCTGGAGAGCCTTTACCATCCATAGCTGAGCTTTAGGGATTCATACTCCTTGGCTTCTGGGTGTGCTGGGACCACAGGGCCCAGGGTGGGCCCTAGAGTCAGTTTCCTTCTTTATCTGCCATCTGACAGGAGTAAGAAGTTTTACTCTGAGGCAGTGAAAAGGAAAGTCAGCAGCCCCAGGGACAGTACCAAGGAGACACAGCCTGAGTGTGTGTTGTCATAAGCTCTGTCACAGCCAAGGCCTCCTCATGCATAAAGACCTCACTGTGTTTGCATAACACCTGTGTTAGAATCATGAGTGATGGATAAAGGATTAACTGCCTCAGTCTTCTAAAGAGATGAAGAAGGGCTTTATGCACCAAGTTCATAAGTAAGGACATAAGAAACCACAAAGTCCAGTGTAGCTGCCTCTATAAGTTGAAATTAGAGAACTGACACAATAACAATAACCCAGCTCTATAGTAAGAATCAATGTAAAATCTTTGAGTTTTTACATTGATGGCTGATCGCTAACAGCTCAGGATTGTAGCTCCCAGTGAAAGTGCAGAGAATGAGAGGACGCCACACTTTCAGACGAATTTTTGTCGCTCACGGACCAGAAGATTCCCAGTAGAGGGGCCCCACGGGTCACCAGCGCGACTCTTGTGGCTGGCGCAGCGGTTTTGACAGCACCTCGGCACAGCAGCTCTTCGTGCAGAGTAAACGGGAGGAGATTCCAGGGCAGAAGAGCACCATTAGTCTTATCGCTGCTGTTTTGGCTGGCACAGTGGGTTGCTCGGATTCCAGCACTGGGAATCAATAAACGGGGCATCCACTCAGAAACCCAACTAGAAAGGCAGTAATCATAAAGACGACAGATGGATAAATTTATAACAAAGGGAAGAAACCAGCCTAAAAAGGCTGAGAATACCCAAAATCAGAACCCCCTCTCCCTCTCAGGGGATTACAGTTCCTCATCAGCAACGGAACAAGCCCTGATGGAAAAGGACTGTGTGCCATTAACAGAAGTAGGCTTCAGAAGGTGGATGATAAGAAACTTCTGGTAGTTAAAAGAACTTGTTCTAACCCAATGTAAAGAAACTAAGAACTTTGAAAAAAGGTTTGACGAAATGCTAACAAGAATAGACAATATAGAGAGGAATATAAATGAACTAACGGAGTTGAAAAACAGAACACAAAAACTTAGCAAAATATGCACAAGTTTGAATAGCCGAATTGATCAAGCAGAAGAAATGATATCAGAGGTCAAAGACCTACTTAATGAAATAAAATGAGAAGACAAGAATAGAGAAAAAAGGATAAAAAGGAATGAGCAAAGTCTCCAAGAAATATGGGACTATGTGAAAAGACCTAATTTACATTTGATAGATGTATCTGAATAAGACGAAGAGAATGAATCCAAGCTGGAAAATACTCTTCAGGATATTATTCAGGAAAACTTTCTGAATCTAGCAAAGCAGGACAATATTCAACCCCAGGTAATACAGAGAACACCACTAAAATATTCCTCAAGAAGAGCAACCCCAAGGCACATAATTGTTAGATTCACCAGGGTTGAAACAAAGGAGAAAATACTAAGGGCAGCCAGAGAGAAAGGTCAGGTTACCCACAAAGGGAAGCCTATTAGACTTACAGCAGATCTCTCAGCAGAAACCCAGAAGAGAGTGGGGGCCGATATTCAACATCTTTAAAGAACAGAACGTTCAGCCCAGAATTTCATATCCTGCCAAACTAAGCTTCACAACTGAAGGAAAAATAAAATATTTTATGAACAAGCAAGTACTCAGAGATTTTATTACCACCAGGCTGGCTTTACAAGAGCTTCTGAAAGAAGCATTATACATAGAAAGGAAAAACCAGTATTATCTTTCTAAAAATATACCAAAAAGTAAAGAGCATTAACATAAAGAAGAATTTACATCAACAAATGGATAAAATAGCCAGTTAACATCAAATGGCAGTAACCCTAAATTTAAGTTGACTAAATCCCCCAATCAAAAGATACAGCCAAAACCTAATGGTATGCTACATCCAGACCCATTTCACATCCAAAGATACACAAAGACTTAAAACAAAGGGATGGAGAAAGATTTACCAACCAAATGAAGAACAAAAATAAATAAATAAATAAAAAGCAGGAGTTGCAATTCTTGCATCTGATAAAATAAAGTTTAAAGCAACAAAGATACAGTGGTAAAAGGATCAATGCAACAATAAGAGCTAACAATCCTAACACCCAGATGCATAAGATTCATAAAGAGAATTAGACTCAATGAGACAAAAAATTAATAAGGATATCCAGTACTTGAACTCAGATTCAGAACAAGTAAACTCAATAAATATTTATAGAGCTCTCCACTTTAAATACACAAAATATACATTCTCCACCTTAAATACACAAAATATTGAACTGCCATTATTAATTCCCATTTTTAGAATAAAGCTATATTCCCATTCTCTCTCCCTCTTCTTCTTCCTCTTTCTTCCTCTCCTTCACTCCTTTTTCTTTCTTTCTTTAAAAAACAAAATCTTTGAGTTCATAGAAAGTCCATTTCTCAGCATCAAAACCATCATCATGCTTTCTGTATGGAGGATATCCATCCCCACATATGTGCACTCAGAGTGTCACAACAATGAGAAACTAATTATTATCAGGCTCAACCTCTTTGGTTGAATATGTAGAAACTGATGAATGAAGAAATTCAGTGACTTCCACATCACGCAATGTAGTGCAGACAGGTAAAGTGATATACTATATTTCCGTCTCTTTCCTCCAGTGTCCTAGAAGCAAGGGCTGAGAAAAGACAGAAAGGGGAAATCACGTGATCATGCCAAAGTGAAAGAAAAATGGTAGTGGAGTGTTCTCCAAGTTCCAGACAACTACCTCCTGTCATCTCCTCCACACTTTCAGATCTGTGAAAACTTTCTCATCGTTTTAACAAAAGGTCTCATAGCACAATTTACATAGGCAGTTTTCCTCTCTTAAGTAGGTGGCAATGTAGTGCAGGTAGGTAAAGTGATGTGCAAAAATAAATAGGCTTAATCATTCACAAAAATATTAATGTGTGTCAAACTTCAAAACAGTAAACTACAAATTGCCCCTAACTTTGGCAAGGTCCTTTCACTTACCTTAAAATGAACACATTTACAAATTTGGACTATAAACTATATATACATTTTTATAAGTGAATTATTTTAGTAGTGAAAAGAGCATAGGCTCTGGAATCAGAAAAAAATCAGAATCACAACCCCTCACTTACTAGTTCTGGGGCCTTGAAAAATGTTGCTTTAATTTTTCTAAACCTCTATTCCCTCATCCATAAAACAAGGATAATAATGCCATAGTTATTATAAGGATTAAATTAATAATTGCTAGTAAGTACCTGAGTGACTACAACAGCACAGGTGCTCAGTAATACTGACTCCATTCCTCTCAGCACTCAATGGTCTGCAGTGGAGTGGCTTCACCCTCGACTCCAGATGGAAGGAGACAGAAGAGGAAAGACAGAAAACCTAGAATGGGAGAGAACACGACCAATGACCACTAGCGTTTTTTAAAACCACGAAATCTAAAGTGCCTATCAGCACATTTTTCATTAAAAAATGCCTCATCAGGAATGTTCTTCCCACACAACCTCTCTAAATCCTTTCCCTGCACTAATGACAGTGAAGGTCCCAAAGGCAAGAACATCACTGGGAGGGTCTAGCTCCCCAACAAGAGACGGTGCCCTCATTGCCCTTCGTTTGCACAGATGTAGGTGACACAGCTCCGTGTCAGCCTCACCAACAGTAACAGGGTCTCGCTCTGTCACCCAGGTCAAAGTGCAGAGGCATGGCCATGGCTCATTGCAGCCTCAACCTCCTGGGCTGAAGTGATCCTCTCACCTCAGCCTCCTGAGTAGCTGGGATTACAGTGTGTAGCACCATGCCTGGTTCATTTTTTAATTTTTTGTAGAGACAAGGTCTTGCTATATTACTCAGGCTGGACTTAAATTCCTGAGCTCAAGTGAGCCTCCTGCTTCAGCCTCCCAAAGTCCTAGGATTACAGGTGTGAGCCCCCATGCCCTGCATGAAGGAATTTTTTACATCAAACCTTCTCCAACAAACTTGGTTCAGATATCTGAGATAAGAACTGGACAAGGCAGGTCTCAGTCTTTAGAAAGCACAGCCATACCTAACTTTATGGATGCTCTCCCGCAGGGCCTCCCTAGTCTTTAGGACACATTTAATGCATGCATCCATTTAGGAATAGAGATCTTCTCCCATCCTTAAAAAGGAACCTATAATATTAATTACTGACCTGTGATGAGTCAGCTGTCCATCCTCATTCTGCCCATGCTGTCTACATGGAGTTAGTTTTCATTGTAATACTTGGCCAAGAAAACCAAGTTTTCCTAAATGAGTTCCAAGGATAAATAGCCTCATTCCAGTTATTTGGCGTCTTCCACTAAAGAATTACAGGAACCTGATCTAGGGAAACTGGTAGGGGAAAGGCAGGGAATGAGAGCCTCTGTCTTGCCAGAAATGCATGTTCTGATGGGGAAAGATAATTCAGGATATCTGCGCCAAATCACACACCGGAAAGAAGCTGTCTGAGATCTGAGGAAACTTCCACCTGCTAAAAAGAGCTAGCAGTCTGCTGGAAAGAAAAAATTTCATTTGGATGTCAGAACTCTTACTCTTCACTTTGTGTGTGACTGTAGAGAAGTCGTTTAACCTCTTTGCACCTCAGATTCTCATCTGTACAGTAAAGAGTTCACGTTAGATTATCTTTAAGTTTCCTTCAGCACTAATAATCTATAGGTCTCTACCCAGCAAGAAAGAGATCAAATCTGACAGATTCCTGAGAGTTAGGAAGTACAGATTCCTGCCTAGCTGATTCCTTTATGTGACCCAGTAAGGATAAAATCGAAAAAAGGAACTAAATGAAATACACTCATGATTAATCAAAGGGGATTGAAAGTCATGGCTAACCTCACACCTACCTTGCATCGCCTCCAGCTCACCTCCCTTGAGACACTCCTCCTCCTCTTTAATGCCTCATCATGATTCTCAAAAACTGTGATCACTCAAGGTTGAAGCTTTTAATCTCCCATGTATAAAAGGATATGCAAATAGAGTTCAGTTTCCTGTTGAGTCTCTGCCAAGGTCTTAGCCTGGCAGTTCTGGGAAAAGAGCCAAAGACCTCATATTTCTTGGCTGTTAACATTCTCCCATCTGTGCTCAAGTCAGCGGCCTGGGCTTCAGGCTGTGGTTTGTCTTTAGACTTACACTTTCCCAAGTTTTCTGAAGGAACTCTTTAGAATGTTCCTGCAAGAAAGTATGATACAGCTGGCTCCCAAGAAACCAGACAGAGGATTATCTGGTTATATTTGGAGGCAGTAAGAAAAAGACCAGGAAGTCTATATTCCTACAGTATAGCCACAGAATCCAATCTTGCCAGTTACTTGAAATACTGATATTAATTAAGTCTTAGGCAGGGCTTTCAATAAGTCATCTGTGTCTCCAATATGGGATGCCCCACATCATGACTCTGCAGAGTGAAAAAAGCAAGGTCCTTGGGTACAGTACAGCATTCAAAAACTAAAGACGTGAAAAACACAAGACATCTCAGTGTGCTTCTGGGCTAGAAGCTCTGCTTAACAACAGAATCAGAGACTGGACTAATTGTCCCCTGTGTCTCTTTGATTGAACTCACACAAAATAGAATCTACCATTTTTACTCAGCCTGGGGTATCCAGACCCAAGTTTACTGAAATGTTGTTACCAATATTCTGATGGAAAATTATATATTCTGAGCTATGTTAAATCTGACCATTAATTAAACATGGAATTTCTACTTTTTCTGTAAGTGCCTTGGCTTACTTGTATTTCCCAGTATTTCTCTTCTAAAGCTAACTCCCCAAAGGGCTTTTCTGTATGTTCTCACTTCCATTACAAAGTCAATGTACAAATTAATTTTTTAAATTTCTTCAGAAACCTCTATAAAGAGATTTCTTCTTTCATTTGTCTGTTATTCCAGGCAGCTATCACGAGCAAAGAGCTCAAACCTGCACTGCCTTGAAAGAGGACATCAATTGAAAAAACACTCTCAATCTACTCAGGAGGCTGAATGGGAGTATCTCTTGAGCCAGGGGTTGAAGACCAGCCTGGGCAACTAAGTGAGACCCAGTCTCAAAAAAGAGCTCTCGTTATTCTTCCATACTCAGTCATTCCCTTGGTGTTTTCTGCAGCATTTATTTTTAAATATCTCAGTCTGTTCTTAATCCTTGAGCCTTTATTTTTTTAAATCATACTTTCTTTAAGATCTACTCAGTGTTGATTCCCTACAAATTTCCCACCTCTTAATTCTCCTCCCAGCCTCTCCACTCTGAGCCTTATGCCTCCAATAATGATTATTCTAAAACCAATAACATCTCAATAGGGAAATGATGTAAAATAGGTCTTCTTACTCTGTTTTGGAGGTTTCTTTGGATGTTGCTATTGCTTGCTTTTCTGTCCCACCCCAAACTCATGTGTGTCTGAAAGTTAGCACCACCATGTGCCATTCATGAACATTTTGCTCAGAGGCTTGTCCCAGAGCAGCATTTTGAGACTGAGCCTGAACTCCACTCATGTTATGACCTGTAAAGGTGCCTGGCTCAGAAAGACTCGGGAGTTCCTGTGAAAATCCAGGTCCAGCTACTTTGTCACTGTAATTTGTTATTGGGAAAGGTTGAGCTATCAACATATTGCTCCGAACTGAATCTTAGATTCTCCAGTAAAGGCTCAGAACTGAATCTTAGATTCTCCAGGATATATGGGTCCTCCAAGGCTCCTGGGCAAATACTCAAATGCAGCAATTCTGTGGACTGTAAATGGAAGATGCCCAGATCATACCTTCAATGGAAGAAAAGAGAAGTGTCACCTTAGACGACTGCAACTCTGTGGGCTATGTTTGTCTTCCTAATACCATTCCTCATTCTCCATTGTGTTTATGGCAAGCCTCATCTATTCAAAAATAGCCAAGAACAAGCCAACACACTCTTGTGTTAGTGTGGAGGACCAAGCTGACATAAGTGAATGTGACTCCAGATGAAAATCTTCCCCTTTCCAACACAAAGATGCCAAAGACTACATAAGAAGCAAGCCTTAAATCATGCTTTATTTCCATTTGAATATATTTCCTCAGTTCCTATGTGTTGCTTCTGCATACACAGAATTTAGTGATAAAAATTGAGACTCTGTCCTACAGATAGTAATTAACTCAGCTATCAATGCCTGTTGACTGTGTAAAGGGGAGACCATTTTGCACCAAGATTTAGTAACCTCTATTTGAATGGGAAAAAAAACAACAACAAAAAGGCTTTCTTCCTACTATGACTCTCTCTCTCTCTGGATAGATTGCTTGCCAGGAAGGGTTAGGATAATTCTGCCATGACTCTGGCTTCCACATCAGAAGATATTTGGTCTCTATCACATGTGGAGGAAGGATCTCCTTGTTCAGCAGTATTTACACCATCACACTGACACCTAATCAGTAATCAGACCTAACTATACAGCTTTACTAATAAACCTAAAAAAGCTCGTGTTCTAAGAAAGAAGCGGGAAGTGATGGGATAGATGGGACCCGAGTGCTGGGAAACTGCCCATGCCCACTGCTGACTTGGTCTTCTCACCAGCTGCTTTTTCCAACAGATGCATCTTCCTTAGGAGGCACCAGATACCCAAAATATCCACATCCTGTGGTCCCCTATACCCTTGATACCCCACATTTGAGTTCCTTTCCAATGCAAAGAACAAAAGCTGCAGACTTTGAGCCAATTTACAACAGATGTGGTTCACAACCACCAACTACCCAGGAAGGCTCCACCAGAGCAGGGCATGAGAATAAGCTTCTTAGATATTCCCATATGTGTGATCCCATCAATCATTTAACAACTGCTCAAAGAGAGAGACTAGGAGACTTTCTCCAGGGCATCTCCAAGGATTTAATTCACTATGTTGGAAATTAAGAGATTGACATTACTACAAAGATATAAGAAGGCTAAGACAGAGTTAAGGGAATTATTGGAAAGTTGGCATAACAACTTTACACGTGCCCTGGGAAAATCTGCAGTTCTACCCATAGCTTTGACATAATGCTTCCCTATGCCACTGTTCTTGCCCAACTCTGACTCCCACATTGTGATCATACACTAGATAGGCCCCTCTCTGCATGTAGGACAATGGGATTGGGGATTCCACTGATCAGGATATCATCACTAGTTTGTGCCATGCCTTGAAAGAATATTCCTGGGCTGCAACTATTTGTATGAGATTGTATCCTGACCACCCCTAAGTCTGCAGACTTTTTAACTATCTTCCCCCAAGAAAATGGTCCCTGATGTGCACTGCCTACTTAGTAAAGCTAAGAAAGATAGAAAGGAAGAGGACAAAATGCAAGGAGAAACTTTAGTGCAAGGAGAAAAGTAATGATATGGATGCAGAATATTTATCATGTGAATCCATATTAACCTGACTTCCTCAGAAAATGTCAGCATCAGTATTAGGATGCGTATTTTCTTAAGAAATAAATCCTAAGGGAATTATTAGAAAGTTGGCATAACAACTTTACACGTGCCCTGGGAAAATACACATCCTAATACTGATGCTGACATTTCCTGATCTCTGAAAGAAAATATGAGAATTCAAGGGGTGCTACAGCAGAATACACACACACAAAAGTGCTTTGCTATGGCCAGAATAATGCAGTCTTGGCAAGAGCTAGGGAAGCTGCCAGCTGTCTGCCCGCTGCAAACAGTGAAGTAGGTCATCTGTGGCTCCCCATCCTCATCTGTCTAGGCCATTTTCTTGGACCCTCCTCCACATCCCATTCCTCGTATGTTCTCATTCTGTTTCCATCAAAACGCAATCTCAAGAAATGACCTGAAATCAATTCGTACTAATGTTTAGGTAATGAAAACAGAGAAAGGTTTTAGCTTTTCTGAGATTGGCAGGGAGAGCTGCAAGTGAGCACTGTATTTTAATAGAGATAATAGCCATAAGCTAAACACTGCAGCAACCACAGCAGAATTTTCCAAGCCTGAGGAACACTACCCACAATGAAAGACAGAGGGTTGTTCTCTCTTTGTTTGGAGGTTCAGTGTGGATCATATACAGAGAGTCTGGAGCCTCCCAGAGTACTTCTTCTCCCCTGTCCAGGAAGAAGTCCAGCTGGAGCTGACAACCAGAGAGAACGTTAGCCTGACCATGGGGAAAGGTATTGGGCAGAATTAAGGCCAATAGAGGAAAAAAAAGATGTCTGAAAAGAGATTTCATTTCAATAGAAGGAATAGCTTTTAAGAGTTGACAGCCATTCAACAGTGAAACAAGTGTCCTTGTCAGTGGATGAGTTGGGTGGATGATTACACTGGGTAGGTTGTCTACATTGGTTGGGAGCTAAACTCCATGAGCATTTTCCCTTCTAGAATTCATTATAGAATTCCATGTTGAAAGAAAATCAGGCCTACCAATTATGTACTCTGTATATGTAATCATACTCCATATACACATTTGTATCCATTATATAATCAATTTTCAGTGTTATTGGATATTTTTCCTAATCAATATTTTTAATAAGCTATATTTGTGTTGCATCTAGAGGTATATTATAGTTTACTCAATCAGTTCTCTTCATAGTTGAGCATTTAGGCAGCTTCTGAATTTTTCCTACTATGAAAATTACTGTGATGAACACACCTGTGCTTAGGACTTTTCATTATTTAAAATCAACATATATGTATATGGTGATTTGGACCAACTTCCACATCCCATTCCTCGTACATTCTCATTCTGTTTCCATCAAAACACAATCTCAAGAAATGACCTGAAATAAATTCATACTAATGTTTCAGTAATGAAAATGGTGGAATAGGGGGAGGCTTTAGCTTTTCTGAGATTGGCAGGGAGGGTCGTAGGTGAGTATTGTATTTTAATAGAGATAATAGCCATAAGCTAAACACTGCAGCAATCACAGCAGATATATAAATGGTATATATACAAATATACCATTATATTTGTTTAAATATATAATAAAGTAAGCCTCTATTTTCTCAATTAGAAGATTCAAAATTAACAATTTTGTCCAACTTGAATATGTAAAACTTG